ATCTGTTAAACAAACAGGGCCGCGCCTCGCGATAATCCCGGAACAATTGCCGATCGATCAGCTACTTAGAAAGACATCGTTTCGAGTGCAAATAAGCCAGAACACCGGATCACGCAAGTGATTACCGAAGAGCGAAAGGGTGAAAACCCTTTAAACTTCAATGTAAATGCTAATGAGAGAAAAATCATCCGAGGATGATTTTAACGGGGGAGGCGTGACGCGTTTGCTAATGTCACAGGAACGACAGACTGAACAGACTTACCCTTGTGGACGTGGGCCGTGGAATCTGGAATTTAAAGAAAAACACCATTATTTTCCACCGAATCTGGTTAGACAATGATAAATAAGGGGCTGAAGGAGCTTATTTAAATATTATTCCGCCAGTCGGCAGGAGCCGGCCCGAAACACAAAAATATTTAATATCGCTTTTGAGTGGAATAACTGCGGCTTCGTTACCGGATAACTTAATTTGCTGGCGACGTTTCCCCTTCGCTTTTCGTCTTTTATTTACTTTGCCCCCCAAAAACACTCGGCTCAGCGACAACCGCGTAATGAAAGATAAATCTTTCGGTTTTTCAACAAAACCCCGATAAAATCCTCCAGTTCATATAAATCATGCGACAAACTTTCCACTGGGGATCGACAATTATCTGGCCCCTGACACCCTAATCTACGCATATGATTAGAAAATCTGCTCAGATCAGCCATAGTTTGAATCCCAGCCAGTCATAGTGTTCTAAAATACATACACACGTGCTATTTTGGTTCGCAAGAGACATCAATAAGACGTGATTTTGGACCCAGTTTGGACTTGTATCATGTTGTTCAAGAATTTTACTCGCGTCAATATTGCGAGACCCGGACGGCTTTTTCACGTGCGGCGTAGGCATTGTTTTACTCAAAACTTCAAATAAAAACCTGAAGAGAACAGCAACGTCAGGAAACTCGGGATGTACTGGCAACATTGAAGCTTCAATTGTGACAGAAGGTCCACAATTGCATAACCTGAATAGTTTTCCATGACTTTTAGCATTTGACATTGACAAGTGCGTTCTATAAACTAGATTTTCGCATCTGAAAGCCAATTTAAACGGCGAAAAATGGTTGGAAACCGGTGTGTAGGTACATACATAAACCAGCTGTTTCACTGCGATGCAGCGGCAAAGTGCTGCGTTCCAAATTGTCAAGTAAAAATATTTACGGTAGCATTGTTACTATTATTGTTAGTGCTGCGGCAACTGCGCATTTGTCCCTCACAGCTCCCCAGTCGATCAAACCCCTTTTGGGCCTCCCGGCGCGATACGGATCTCCCCATTGTTTAACCGCACGTCTGGATCCCAATTAACCGCAAATTCGGCGTCGCTACGCGTTCGTCGATCGTGCCATTAATTTGGACAATTTTCGAAAAAACACGCACCGAGATTTCCCGTTTTTTCCCATCTCCAGCCTGCCTTTAACCCCCGTCGGCCAATTCTTCTCCCCCTATATATAACTATTCCCTTCAAGAAGTTGCTAGTGTGCTCGAAACAGTATGGAAAACGTGTTGAGAAACATCTCGAAACGCTGAGAAAGCCACATTCATCAAAATAATGAAAACTGATGTTGTGAAGTGGGGTTATGGAGTAAAGTTCTGTGATGTTTTTGCAATTTCTTTTTAGTTTTACCAGTTACGCAGGGACTTGAGAATTGCTAACAAAAAAATGTCCAAGTGCGAACAAATAGACTGTTATCAAAAGAGATAGACTTTCGAAAAAACTGAACGCGTTCTGATGAGAACAGTGTAAGCGTTCAAGCAAACCACTTCTGAAGATGCAAGCCACTCGTGCTTGCGAAGCGTCAAGAAGAAATTCTACCGAAC